ACTCTAGAATTTGTGTTGCAAATGATCGACTTTCTGGCGCAGGCATAATCGAACTCACCGTTCCATGTTGGCTGCAAGACTCCACAATGAGTCGGCAGTGATGTTTGCAATTTCCCTAGAAATGCTGGCCTTTAATTCTTCCACTGTCCGTGGTTTATCGCGATAGATAACGCCCTTTAGAAAACCTCATAAAAAGAAATCTGGAGGCGATATATCTGGTGACAGCGGAGGCAACAATCCTTTGGAAATAATTTGGTGCCCAGCTCCTGATCAAATCCATACTTTTTTGACGTGTGACATGTGGCACCATCATGCTGGGAATACCACTCAGTCACGTCCACGTCATAAAGCTGCTTTAAAAATTCATTAAAAATGTGTATGTAACACTCGCTGGTCACTGTTCTCTCGAAACATATTGGTCTCGCAATGCATTCCCACGATTTTCGCCGTTGCACATAAATAACCGCATTAACATTGGATACTTTTTAAAAACCTACACCCCAGTGAAGTAGGTCAGTTCTAAAAGAATCGCCCTGAATCAGTTTTGATGTAGTTGCGTCCTTTCGGAAAAGTCTCAAAGCTCAAAATATGCTACAAATTTGATATTTAACATACGGCTGGCATGGAATCGATGTGGGTGCATATTAATTGCAGAAAATTCTACTGCATAGTACAAATTCTGGGGCTTGAAATAATAAAATCTCGAACCTGCAGGATCTGAAAATTTGAAGCTTTGCAGGAATCTACTGATCTACAAGGGTATCACTTGCTTTGTTATAAAATAATCATTTCTTTGAATTTTGAAATATAGCTTTATAGTGCAGCTCTCTGATTTTCTTATCATCGCAGACGTATTCCTATTTTTAATCTTTTAAATCAAAAACGCGTACCTGGTAAATAGCGTGCACATTTCTTTTGGAACTGTTGATTTTTCAATAATGTTAGTGTTTTAATATTGTTGCGTGCGTACGGATTCGTTACGAAATGAATGCACACGTCCGATGAAAAATGAACAAAAATTTATTATTATCACAACAAATATGATTAAATGTCCTCAAATAATCGTGCAGTATTACAATATATCACAGTAGTGTCTTCTAACTACTCAAACGTTCAAGAGAACTTAATTCAAAACAGCTAAAGAAAGCTAATCCGCGAATTCGCTACAGTCAACAAGAGCAGTTTTCTAAAACAACAACAAACTAAGTAACTACTACGAACTGAGAGGTTTTTCATCCTTTTATAAGATTTTAAAATCGCGCGCGAGAATTTTCTAGTACTTTCTCGAAATCAAAAAGAGATATTTATTAAATGTTAAATTCACGCGCTCTTGTATTTTCAATTTTCCGGCTTAGCTTTCTTTTAATATTCGTCACGCGCTGCACTGCGCGGGAAATAAAACCATTTAATTTATAATTGAACTAACATTAGCTTTTTAAATATCAAATTCTTAATATTAAAAAAATCTGAAAGCTTACTGATTTTGCATTGCGCCTAAAGGGGAGTTTTTTAATGTTTTGTGTTATTTTTATTTATTATGTTCTTCGCACTTAAACCTTAAAATTAAGTTCAATAGCAATACCGCAAAAAAAATTTTCAAATAGAACAGATCTTTAGAATTTCTGATACACAATCTCGCGTGCTGGAAATAAAAATGTTTTTTTTTTTTTTTTTTTTTTTTTTTCCCCATACAGTTTTGCCATGTTTGAAATCATTGAGTTTCTTAATCAAAAACTCGTAAATGCTTTCTAAAATATAAAACAGATAACAAAACAAATTCCAAATTCGTGCTTCTAGATGCCACATATTCGGGTGGAGACGTACGTTATTCAAGATTGGACGGCTCTAGGTTACCGTTATTTTATCACAGTGCGAGGAACGTACATACATTTATGCAGATTCTTCATTATTTAATTTGTTTAAGTATAATACGAGGTGATTATATTTGGTGGCAACAAGTTAAAAAGTAATTCGCCATTGATAGAGAATCAGCGCGAAATTCCAAAACAAAATTAATAGACTTTCTGGACGATATGCCCCTTTGGGTTAAGAAACACTGAAGGGGTGTAGCAATTAAGGGGCAGTCAAAATTTTTACAAATCTTTTTTATACCGTTTATTATCGTCGAATCATCTCAAAATTTCTGGTCAGTGTAGTAAGGATATTAAGCTATTTTTCTAGTAAAAAATTGAAAAATAGGTAATTTAATCGATTTTGGGGTGCCAAGTACCTTTAAAATAAAAACTGTACAAAATAACGTAATAAATACTATTACAAGAATCGGAAAAAATTATTGCCATAGTTATAAAGAAATTTTATTTAATGTATTTACCGTCGAGCAAAATATTCACATTCAGATTTTCCTAAATTAAACCGGTGAAGATCTGCTTAAGCACAAAATGTTTCGAGATATTTTAACGGCATTTATTTAAAAAACAAATTGTTAAACGAAATGAAGGCAAGCGTATTTGCGAAGTGCGGAAATTTTCACAACGTACTTCCAAGCAAATAATTAAGTTGAGGAAACATTAGGTAGTAGTAAATTATTTGTGCTTCATTTACGAAATTATTTCTTGAATAAATGAGCTCTGACTGCAAGTCAACCAAGTTTTCACGCAATTAACCACTCTGACTGCTTCACTGTGGCGATCAAAGGCAATAGTTAATTACAAAATTAATTCACTGTTTGTAAAAGTTCGATCAGCCGATGCTTGTAAAATTATTAGGAACTGACATTTTCGATTTTAACAGAAAACAGTGCTAATTAAAGCGTTCGCATCGATGATTTGGGATTAAGAGGGATATTTAAAAAAAATAGATAACAAAGAATATAAACAAAAATTCTATGCGGCAATTTGTTGCTCTCATACACATAAAGCGTTTACTTTATAAAAATCTGATGAGCCTAAATCTGTTAATTTACTCGCTTTTAATACAGCATTATTTATTTGTCACATTACCGGCCGAGCGGTAAAGTCGCTGAACACTGGTAGTTCGGTCCGAGGTTCGAATCCCGCGAACGTGCTGGCTGCATGGGCGTTTTCTTGATTTTCCCCATGTGTAACGTGTATACGAGCCAATTTCCCTTAGAAAGTCCTCCACGAAGGCATCCCTCCCCTTAGGCAGATAGCCCTAGTGTGCTTTGCCATACTTAAATACACCAGAATTTATGGTTTATGTGGAGGGGTATCTGGCTAAGGGGCATGAGGACTTCGTGGAGGACTTTCTGAGGAAAGCTCACTCGTATACACGTTACAGACGAAGAAAACGCAAATGCAACTAGCCCGTTCGACGGATTAGAACTCGCCCTGCCGCTGGTAAGAATTTTCAAAATGGAATTGCTCTTGCATTTCATTCCTTTTAATTAAACCTATATCCAAGCTTATGGCAGTTTATTTATTAACGCTTTGTGTGTTACCTTTATTTATTAAATATCATGTTGTACTTACGCAAACCATAAAATTCAGTTCAACAGCAATATCGCAAAATAATTTCAAAATTAGCATATGTTTAGAATTTTCGATACAGCCTCCCGCGCTGAAGATAATTGTTTTTTTTTTTTTCGTACAGAGTTGCCATTGCTCGCTTTGAAATTGTTGAGTTTCTTAATCAAAAATTCGTTAAATTTTTACAAAATATGAAATCGATAATAAAACAAATTCCAAATCTGGGCTTACAGATGCCCATATTCGCAGGAAGATTATGTTATTCAAAACTGGATGGCTCTAGGTACCCTTGTTTTATCCCAATGCTAGAAACATGCATACATTTATGCAGATTCTTCATTATTTAATTTTCTTTAAATATAATACAGGGCGAAAATATTTGTTGGCAACAATTTGAAAAGTGAAACAACTTACGATCGTGAATCGACGCAAAATGCTAAAACGAATATAATAGTGCTTCTGGGCGAATTGCCTCTTTGGTTTAATAAATCCGATTCAAAAGTGTGAAATGAACATTCTTAAGAACCTCATCTATCACTTTCAAAAAGCTTAGTTTGTTAAAGCACAAGACAAATTTAATTTGAAAAATAAATATGGGTACTTTTCCGTTTCGGCCGGCGCAAATCTCGCCAAGCAGACTTTATTGGTGACAACATCTATACTATATATATATAAAATATTTAAAATGTTAGTTCTAAGAATTTTTTATTTTGAAGGCATTTTAATATCGTTTAAAACTGTGTAAAAAAACCAATAAATAAAGACAATAAATTTGTAAAAAGACATCAATTTTAAGAATTTACTATGCTATCATGATTCAACATCCTGATTCGCCGCTTCATACCACGTGACCGCAAGTGATCTCATCTCACGTAAACTATGCTACAAAAATCTAATTCTATCGGTAATTATCTACATTAATTAAGTTAAATCTTAATTTGGAATACAAGTTTAAATGCAAGAATTATTTCAATTCTTTCGAATAGCTTACTCAGAAATTATGTTAACTGCAGCGCTTTACTTCGCTAGAGCATTCTCATTTGAATGGATGAATTTAACCCTTGACTTGTCTTTTCTATATTTTCGCCTTCGGATGAGCGGTGTGATTGCATCCTTGACTTAATGACCGAGAATGGCCTCAGGCCTTCATAAAATTGAACTACCTGGTAAAAATTCCATGGAATTGTATGCCAGTATTGAAAGAATCAATCAATCTGATAAGAAATGGTTGCGACTTGTTTTGGAAATGAGGCGCAAAAGGTTGCCATCAATGATATTCCGTTTGACGTCGGTTGTACCATTATTGGCGACTTTATCGCCTGCGCCGGCTAAACGGAAAAGCAGATAAATATGTTACAATTTTCCGAATGGCAACAGATTCGAATGAAAAGTGAGACAATTTATACTGATTCGACCCTAAATCCTATTTTAAGACTAGAAGCCCTTTTTGCACTAATAATAAAGCTTAGCGTATTTATGAATAATGCCATTAATACTTTTAGCTATGCTAGAAATATTTTACACGGTTTCCTTGTGAAAGATTTCCATACTTACCGTAAAGCCTGATGGTCCCCTCCGTTTCTCCTAAGGAGTTCTTTGCCACACAGCTATAGGATCCGAAGTCTTCGGGACGGAGATTCTTCACCTTCAAGGTCATCTGCACTTTATAGAGGCCAGTATCCCTCACGATGCTGTTGTACTTAATGTTCGACAAAATCATGACACCACCCCCATCGCGTGTCCAGTATGTCACCGATTTTGGATGGGATTCGAGATTACAGTCTAGAACAACATCGGCACCGATCGCAGCTCCCACAAGTTGATTGGGTATCCAAATCATAGGAGCAACTAAAAAAAAAGAAGTACATTTTAAAAGAACTTTTGCTTTTAAATTGGTTATCTGTGATTGAAGTTGTAAGCTTATTATTTTGAATAACTTGTTCTTTATAATTTCAGATTTTACTCTCACAACAATATAATAAACAGTAAATTCTAGACAGTAAACAAAAACATCTGGAAGTACGAATGTGTGTCTTATTAAAATATATATAAACATATGTTACCGTGAAAGACCGAAATTGGAAAATGTCGACTTTCACCGGAGAATATAAACATTCACCAAATACGTCGGTGAAACACCGAATATTTCGCTGTATATTCGGACCCTCGACAATCACAGGTATGCTCTGATGAAAGTCGAAAAGATAGGTCATAAAGTGCCATAATAGTTTAAGTCGTTGCAATAAATAACATTTGAATCACATAATTTAGTAAGTTTTTTATTACTGTTATTTTATTTTCTCATTTAAAACGTACTGTATAATTAAGTAAGTTTTTAACTTCTATTATTTTCCTTTCTCATATTGAATGTATTGTGTGTTTTAGGTTCTCATGTTCTTAAGTTCTTATTTCAAGTTTCAAGTGCATTTATTCGCGACTGAATTACGGAGAAGAAAATATAATATTGTTAGATGTTCAACATTCACCATAAGTACATGGTGAATGTCGACATTGACCGGTGTAAGTCAGAAATAAGAGTATTTGGAAAATATTTCGGACACACACCAAGAGACTATGTGAATGTTGACATTCACCGGTGAAAGTCGACATTCTCCAGATTTCCGTGTTTCACCGTAACATATATATTATGTTTACGTTACACATGCCGTAGGTTATAAAACGAACAAGATCTTCATAGCTTTTGTAATTGTTTTAACAATATACTATGGTTGGTAATGATTCCAACGACCGACATAATCCATGAACTTATAATTCGATACTATTTGAGGTCTTTTATTAGCTATCTCAGCATCGCAACATTATAATTCTAAATGCAAGCTTCATTAGATGCAAGATCATACTTATTAAGTATGGTAACAATTCGTTCGTTTCCTCTGAAGAGTTAGCGAATGATTTTCTATAATGTTTATTGTTTTAAAAGTAAGTTTTTTAAAATTTTTGGAGAAAATTCTTTTTATCTTCTCTGATAGTTCTTGCTAAATATATTTAAAAAAAAAAAAGGGCAAATGAACCAAATTTGAATTCTCAGCTGCAAATGAACCAAAGAATGTTTGGTTCATTTGCCCTTTTGCAGCTGAGGGATATGATTCGGTAAAAGCATCGAAACTAGTCCTGTGAAAATTTGAAAAAATATTACGCTGATTTTTGTTGTTTGACTAAATTAAACGTTGAGTTGCTAGTTTTTATTTAACCGATAACAAAATCACAATAGCCGCTTGAACTCCTCCCACAGCTAAGAAAACACGTGCATGGCAGAGTGTCGATTGCCACGCGATATTATGGGCGATGGCATTAAATATCCCCAGTAACTATCAGCGCCCGAATTAACTCGTGGAATAGGAAAACCAAAACGGCATCTATTCCCGAGATATCTCGGGAGCGGTCGTTAAAAACCGTTTTTTTTAAAACATTTCTGACTGTTGCCATTTACCGTTAGGTCACAGACTCGCCCTCGGGCTCTGTTGACGTCTCGGCGAAGATTCCTCAATGGATATTTAAATTTTAGCCAGGTCTGCCTCTTTTCCGTTGGGGATCACAAGACCCTGGTCCTTTGACGGAGGCACTTCATAGGGTCTCATCATATTAATATGATAAGTAGCTAATATTTGATCAGGAATAGCAGGATCTGCAATGTCATATGTTGTGGGAGATGTATTAGTAGTGACTAGGCATATTTTATTTTATTTTCTTGTTAATGGATCTACTGACTGGATGTAGAGATATCCATACTTTGTCACGAGACTCACAGTTAGATTGTCTACGTCTCTTCAGCGAAGTATTCCTTTCTTTTGTCTTGTTTTTTTTTTTTTCGACACGCTGCTTGATTTGAGGTGTCAAACGAGCTTTCAGATAAGGCGTAATTTCAGCAAAAGTTGTCGTTTTCAATAAAGTCCCAATCACGTGTGTTTCCGCTAAGAGAAACTAGACGTCGAAAGCGACAATTCTCAGAACCAGCACATTTCCACGAAACATCTGTACCTATGTCACCATTTATACTTGATCCTTCAAAAGCAGAGCTTTTGTCTGATTGGTTGATCTCTACGCGGGACAGAGCTGCAGCCGAAACATTTTCGGCGAGGTTTCATAAAATCCCGCGTAGCCGGTACATCGTTTCCGTAACTAGGCGGGACTTCGCTTTTAGAGAAGCGCTGCTTTTTCTAGCAATCCTCCCGTTTAAAACAATGCTACCAGAATCTCGTACCTCAGGAAAGCCCCGTCGCTAGATGTGATAATCTCTTAAATTCTCTTCCGAACTGCAAATAAAAGAATTTTAAAATTTATAAAAATTAAAATATCGGGGATAAAGAAGTGCGTTTTGTCCCCCCCCAAAAAAAAACCTAAAGAATTTGTATTTTTGTTGTTGTTTTTGGCAACAGCCTTGAGCACTTTACCGGTGATGGGGCGATTTAGTTTAATTCCCTTCCGCCAAATTTTGAATGACAGCACCCCAAAAGGGCGGGTCCAAGGCTCTCTCACCCTAACTCTCGAGAGGACTGTAGGCTCGCCCCATATATAGAGTCCCCCATGCCGCAAGGACACTATACATTTAGAAACATCCATGCCTTCTCCGAGATTCGAACCCGAGGCCTTCGGCAAGGCAGTCAGCGAAACTAACTACTATAACGGTTGGGCGACAATTTGCATTCAGCATGGAAATTTTAAATCGAAGCTTAAAAATTGTAAAAATTCTCAATATTTCAAATAATTCTGAATATGCTAATATTCAATTTTGCTTTAAACTTAAGATAACATTTCGTTGCTGGAAAAGACTGAATCACGAACAAAACAATATTCAAAAATATCAATGCATTTTTGTTACGAAAGTAATTTATTTTGAAGCATACTTTATAATGAGAGAGTATTAATTCAATAAATTCAGTTTCGAATACTTACAGTTGACGTTGAGCATGATTCTCTTGCTGACAGAAGGTTGAACTCCATTGGATGCGATACATAAATAGGCTGCCATATGAAGTCGACTTGTTTTCGTGATGTTTAAAAACTGCCCTTCGACAATTGGCACTGAAAAGACAAATTATACAAGTAATGTTCTTCTGTTATTTACATTACAACCATTACAAAATTCAAAATAATACCAAAAATAAGAATTAAATAGTGAAAAAATTTCGGGAAGGACAAAAACAGAAATTAATTCTGAAAGCTTTCAGATTTTATATTACCACCAAAGGGGCATTTTTTAACGTTTTGTGTGTTACTTTTACTTATTAAATATCATGTTCTTCGCAGAGTTTTTATGTATTTTTCCCTTGCCATGAAGGGATGACTGAATTAATTGAATAAGAAATACCGAATCGTCTGTGAAAAAGTATTTCTTTTATACATCGTTTTAGATTTATTATAATATTTGCATAGAACATCTCGCAACGATTAGATAATTCTTCAGATGATATAAATTTTGTGCATTATGAGTTATAAAATGAATGAGAATTAACGCTGTTAAGTAAACCTAGCGCCAGAGTTTCGCTATGGTAAACAAAAATAGTGAATTTTAAACAGTGCATTTATTCTACTGCGGTTTATTCGCTATCGACAAAGTAGATTTAATTCAATGCAATAAGTTTAAATGAAATGCAAGAAAAAATGCGTATAATTTAATACTCCGTACAAGAAGTCACGTGGTGTATACAGCAGATTTTTTAATAAGTCTTCGTGTGCTGCTGTTAAAATTCCGCCGTTGTTCCGTTGCACGCGCGCAACAATGTAAAACGAAATTTCCTTTTATTTAAATATTACTATTTCCTCTGCTGGGAGTTTAAAAGCTCATTTTTCTGTGTACAGTTATTATTAAGAACATATACTTCAGTTTGAAACTTATAAATAAAGCAAAGTTAAATAAATTAGAACAAAAAGGAATAAAATCGTGTTCTTGAGAAATATGCTAAAACAAATATATATTTATGATCCATCTGTACTTAAAAAGGCGCCGAAAATGGGAAAAAAATACGAGATACCACAAACTAAGGCTTGAAGTTTTTCTGTCCATAAAATTAGTGCATCTTTTATCTGGGAATCTGTAAGTTTAATTAGTACATTTTATTTTATTCTTACTCACTTATCTGGTAGCTCAATTATCATTCCGAAAACATACTTTCCCTGATAGCAGTAACTAAATATTAACATTAGGTGTTCAAATATTTATTTCTGTTATACTTGTACTTAGACTCTATTGAAATTACTTCAGTTTCAAGTGCTTATTTTATATCGGGTGGCTGATTAGGAATGAAAGTACTCAATTACGTATTTCGTCAGGTAAATACAGAGCTATTTAAAAAGACAACGAAAATATCTGATCGGGACAATACATGACTATTAAATTTCGGACTATTAAATTTGGAACACTTTTTGCTGCATTTCATTTAATTTTATTTCCCTGAATTTCATTAGATATATTACTCATTAAATCAATTCATTTCTCACTTCGAGGGAAGCCAAAAATACACAAAAATTTAAATAACTTCGTTAAAAATTTAAAATACACAAAAAACAAAAACATAAATATAAAAAAAATAAAAATTAGAATTTCTATCCAAAACCAAACGATTCGGCCACCGGGCAGAAAGACAAATTTTGTTGGTGCACAAAATTGAAAATTAATTTTTGGACCCACTCGGCAAAAAGACACTTAAGTTGGCGCACAAACTGACTTAATTCATTATTCTACCAAGTTTCAAATGTAAACAAATGGCCGTCTCATCAGGATTTGCACCGCCACTTAAATATTAGATTGTTACAATTCTACAACTATTTCATGCAAATTACCTAAAAGCGCAAATACCTGTTCGTTACGCGTAGTAGCACGTAAACAAGTTTTAAACTGTAGATAAGTCTACAGCTATTGCAAGCAGATTCATTAAAGGGATAAAAACCTTCAGAGGAACATAAGAACAACATAATTCAATCACTTTTAAAGCAAAAAAATGCACAGTTTATTAACAAACAAGATTGAAAAAACTGTGCTCTCTGATCTGGGCAACATAGAGGGTATATATGTATCAGCTTTTGTCAGGAATAAATAGATTGTTGAAGAATCATAAATGTAGTCGTAGCTTAAATAACCAAACGATAAGTTTAAAAAACAGGATCCATTTATTATTATTCAGGAGAAATAGCAGTTACAAAAATCAGATATCCAGAGTAAATAAAAATAATTACTAATAACATTTTGTATGAAGTTTACTGCATCGTAACATTTAAGACAAAAGCCTAGATATTCCTTTTGCGAGTCCTTTTATAGCCTCTGGAAAGGCGGAGCTTCCAAGAAATGACGTCAGCCTCGTCAGCCAATCCAGTTCGCTTGTAAATATTCTCCAGAACAATCTATAACTGCACGTGTACAAAAGGCGGGAAAAACAACTTGACAACGGGGCCGTGGATTTAATTCCACGTACTTTCAAATAACAGAACGTCGCCATTAAAAAATTAAAAGAACATGCAGTTAGTATTTTAAGTGTATTCTTGACTATGGGATTTTATTATTTTTATTAATATATATATAAAGATGCAGTATCTCTTTCATAATACAATATGAAATATCTCAAGTAAGAGAAGTTCACCGGAAAAACAAACATACAGGGGCAGGTTCATTTAACCAGGTAACTGTGGCGCTCTCGTTTAAGAGTGCGCACCGTTTTGTGTCGCTAGAATCGAGCCATGACGAGTATATTCGTCAATCCCAGAGTACACTGCGCTGGTAAGATGCTGGATGAAAAAGATGGGTTTATTTATAAAATTGAAAATTTTATTACTAACATTTACTTATTTGGTTAAAAAAAGCATATATTACATACATATTAAACTAAAAACGCAATCAATTAAAATGAAATATTATGCATATAAAAGTAAGAATTTAAATTCCTGCTGTGGAGTGATATTCAGCGAAGCAGGGTACTATACACAATGGGACAAATCGAGCACCAGTAACGCGATTCCTTCCTGATCTTAAGTTTGTAGCAATGCGAACACCTTCGCGTAGGGTTTTTTTTTCGATGTTCTGGGTATATAATCTGGAACATGATTCCCGCTTAATTGGCTTATATTATGTATAAATGGCCGACATTATGTGCATTTATTTCTTTCAGTTGCATGCATCGCAAAAGTCTTCAAGAAATTTGAGCAAAAAGTTGATAAGTCATAATGTTCCATTATTCTTTTAATATAATATGAATGCATTCAAACGCATAATGTCTAAGAAATGGAGAAATATCTTTTTGTAGTACTTTTTAAGTCGTTTTCTTGCTATGATAATTCCATTGCTCATATCCACTCCACCCATTTTTACTTCCTTGTACGAAGTAAAAAGGAAGTATTGTAATCGCGAAACGTTCAGGCACAGATTGCAAACGAAATATCCATTTGCCCCGCTTCGAATGCAATTTTAACGATTTTTTGCGTGATATCTCTACGTAAGAAAAGAATAAAAGACTCTTTTCCTCCAAAAAAATTATAAAACTGCTTTAAAATGAATTCTGAAGAGAATTTTTTCGTGACGTCTGTACGAACGTATGTACGTACGTATCTCGCATATCTCACAAACGAGTAGCCTTAGAACGTTGAAATTTTGTATATAGGACTACTATAACATGTAGATGTGCACCTCGTGTTTTGGTTGCAATCGGCAGTGCCAAACGTATATAAATATATTTATATATATATCCACTCTGTTACCCGGCTCAATGATCTCAGTTTCTTTACTCTTATATGTTTGTAAATTGTACATGTTTGCTTTAAAATTGATTAAATTATGTTGTTCTTATCTTCTGGTTAAGGTTTCGTAATTTTTAATACAGATATTTTGAGTTTTTATATATTTTTGCCTTGTCGCGAAGTGAGAACTGAATTAATTGAAAGAGAAATACTCAATCGTCTGTGAAAAACTGTTTATGTTTTGTTTTGTTTGCTTAATTTCTTTATACACAGTTCTAGCTTTATTATAGTTTGAATAGTACATGTGCACGATATAATTCTTTAAATGAGATACATTTTGTGCATTCTGAGTTACAATATGACCAAAATATAATATTGTAAAGTGAACCTAGCGCCAGACTGTCGCTATGGTAAACAAATAGAATTTGAATTTTAAAGAATGCATTTATTCTATTGTGGTTTATGCGCTGTTGGCGAAGTAGATTTAATTCAATCCAGTAAGTTTAAACGAAATGAAGAAAGAAATGCATATAATTTAGTATTTCGCACAAGGAAGTCATGTGGTGTACACATCAGATTTTTTTATTATAATCAATCACTAGCTCCTTTTCTCTGTTTCTATTACGTTGCTTTACACGCGCGTTGCTTACACTGCTTTATACGCATGACGAGTATACTCGTCAATACACAAAATCGTGCCGCTTCTCCATGACGAGTATACACGTCAATCACAGTTATATTACATTAGCTCCTTAAGAGAAGTCGTTTTTTAGTTATTCGAGATAACTACGTGTGTACATATGGAAGTTCAAGAAAAAAATCTCTTTTGAATCCATTTTAAATTTATTTTGCAATCGGGTTTCGAAAAAAAAGTCTTTTGTTCTGCACACACGTGCAAATGTCACGCAAAAATATCGTTCAGATAGATTCGAAAACGGTGAAAATGGATATTTTCGTTGAAGTATTATAACTAAAATGCTCCTCTATTACGCAACTTCCTTCACTTTGTACAAGGAAGTAAAAACATCAGTACTTCAAGCAATATTAGTTACTTTCCAAAGGCTGTGAGAGAGAAGAGAAGAAAACTTTTATATATATAAATAAATTCAGATCAAGAAGAAGCATATGTGTTGTACAAGCAGCGACATGCTAGATGAATTTAATGAAAGATTTAAGAAATTAAATCACTTTTCTGAACACCGAAGAGCAAAAGTTTCATTTAAGATTTTAAACTTTAAGAATATTCAAAACATTTTGTTTCTTCTGCTTTACGTGTTAACTTAACTTTCTAAAAGATTTTTTTCTCATTAATCATACGCGTTCTAAGAGCGAAGAAGAAAAGTTCATTGTTGAAATTT